TCTACAGGTAAATTTCATTTTCATGATCTTTTCAGATGATAGATGAGTCATGAGTAGCCAGTTTGTTTAAATACTTAGATGACCATTTTTATTGGCCTGTCATATGCATGATCAACCATAGGGTCTGCTGTTTCAGCCAGTTGAATTGCTGATATTTGTCATGTGCCCAAAGTTTTTGGTCAATATAAGTTTATGGTAATTCACAGCATAGTTTTTATCTTTGATACAAAAGATCATACAGGTAGCCTCAAGGTTATAAAATGTAAAGTTTCAGAATATGTTAGTGGCTCTGGAAAAGGCTTAGGGACTTTACCATTGTTAATTACTTATAAATTCTACGTGGATTATGCTGTAAAACTCTAAACTGTAAAAGAAAAATTTATGAGAAGAACCACAGCAAACCTGGAGTGAATGTTCCTACCAGTGGTAAGTAATGCTTTCATCTGTTGCATTCCTGGGTGTTGTAAAGAGTTGGCAAGGGTAAGGAAAGGGTGAAGACTGTATGGAGAGAGGAAATCATGATTGTGTTGTGTGAGGATACAGGAGTGAGATGCCCTTGCTTTGCAAATGTGAGATTGTTCTGGAGATAATAGGGTACATATATGAGTTGCAAATGGAACATAGAAGTTTTATATGCGAAATCATGAGAGTGTGGAAGGTGCTTTGAGATAATTGTTGAAGGTACTCATTTTCTTTATTTGAGCTCCTCAAGTTTGCCTGTGCTATTAGTCAAATCCGACATCCTGAACTTTTCAAAAACCTATCGCTTCCTGTGATCCTTTAAAGAGGCTCCACTTCCTCCAATACCATGTTCCTGCTCTGCGCTTGCCATTTTGGTCTGTCAAACCATGATATGCAGCGGCCGAAGGGAAGGGGGGGCCAGGGGGGCAACCGCCCCCCTCCAATTGCTAAAAAAAAAAATTTTCTAAGTAAAAAATTTTTATTATATTGTTTTGCCCCCCAAATATTGATAAAAAATTTCACTTTGCCCCCCTCCAATTGTTATAAAAAATTTTCTGAGTAAAAAAATTTTTATTATATTGTTTTGCCCCCCCAAAATATTGATAAAAAATTTCACTTTGCCCCCTCTCAAGGACCCAAACAATAATGTATAAAAGTTATTTGGACTTGGTCCAAATAACAGAGACTCGCCCCCTCTAATTGCAATTTCTAGCTCCGCCACTGATGATATGCTTGCAACCTCAAACATTGACTATGTGATGCTTGAGTTGGATCACCTAGACATTGGATGTATATCCATTTGCCCTTAGTAATAAACAACATTAAATTGTGTTCAGATTGGATATGTACTGCAGCAAAAATAATAGGCAAGGTACTTTCAGCTAAACATGTAATAAAATATTAAAATAAGTTAATTGTAGTGTTCTCATGGCTATTTGATATATAAGAACAATCAATGCTGTGACTGAATTAGGTTTGGAGATATTGGTTGACTATTTGAATAGTATTTTGCTTAGTAAGTTACAGTATGGCGGGCTGGAGGGATACTTGTAGTGAGCAAATGAGGGCCTGGAATATATATTTCTGTTGAGTCATGACAAGTCGAGGTTGTCAAACTGGAAACTGTGTTATTGACCTTCAAGTCAAATTAGGTTTTGTTTCATCATTATTTGATAATCTCATTAGATTAATTAAGCCAATTGATGGGCAATTGCTCGATGTGGAGTAGCTTCTTTTTCTTGTATACATGTTGGAATCCTTTGATTTGGACCACCTCAACTCTGAATTCACTATACTTACATAATCCGGACAATCGATTTTTCCTTATAATGAATCACGTTAGAATGACATGCTATTGATTTCTGTAGAGCTTGCTCCTGCAGGTTGTTTTTATTTGGCCATAACGTTCTTTAGATAGCAATTTTTGTTATTTTTGAGGACTGCATGAGCATTTTTTGTTCTTAGAAGTGTAGGACGGAAGAAGTGTGGGGGTGGTGGAAGGGAATTGGAAATGGTTAGAATCACTTGTTTGTTGTAAACATTTTCCACGTTTTGTGTGTGTGTGTGCGTGCCCGTACACGTGTACAGATATGTCTGTTGCTGTACTTCTGCTTTCAAATTTTTATATCTTGTTTGGCATCTTAAAGGCTCCTTATTGCATCTCTCCTTGAACAAGATATATTTTAATGATGTTTGTTACAAACTTTCAGGTACTAGCCATATTAACACTTTCTGATTATATACCTGGAAATAGAATTTCCATTCTGGAAGAAGCATTTAACCGGAACCTATTGGCATCTTTTCTTCTGGTGAGCAAAAGCTTCCTAATTTCAATTTTCTTTTGATAATAGACATCTGGTGCGTTTCTATAGGTTCCACTGGACGCAAGGGAATGAAATTTGCCTTTATGGTGCAGGCTAATGTGCTGACGGGGTTAGTGAACCTATCCATTGACACGCTCTTTGTTTCACCAGCCACTGCCCTTGCCATCCTGCTTCTTTATCAATTTACTTTATGTGCTTTCGTTGGATGTGCATACTTCTTTGGCGTCAAGTTGAAATTTTGGTAGCGGACCTTGCTTCTGCTTTGCCAATCGAATCCTAACTGCTTTTTAGGCCACAATTGAACTTTTAAACTTGTAGTTTGCTTATTTTATCTCTACCATGTCACTTTCATATCCATGAGGCAGTCACAATTGTTTCTACAAAAATTTGCTTCTCAAGGAGTTCCCTTTGACTTGAATGGACTTCAAATCATTGGGGGTTTCAGTACCTGGTTGAGACAATTGTGTCCAGCCCATCAACGAAGTTGCCCACACAATGAAGTTCACATGCATCTCTGCTTGTTGAATTGCCTATTGCATAAGCTCAAGTATCATTTGCCTAAAAGGGGTTTGTGTACACGTACAACTCATAGAGTTTGGGTTGAACGTTCTTTTCTCTCCTAACATTATTGTTTGTGCATGGCTACGATGCTAGATTGCATTTTATCCGTACCCACAAAGCCATTAAGCAGTACTACAGCGTACTACTACTAGACAGTAGTAGAGTAAAAAGTAAAAGGACACTAAAGGCCGAGCTGAAGCCTAAAAAGGCATTGGCCAATATGTGTTCCTTCCCTTCCATTCTTGGGTCAAAAGCAAATTTTAAAGAGAGTTTTAACTTCAATGTGAATATATATTTGTGGATGATTGGTAAATATGTACTCTCCAAGAGGTGGCTGGTCGTCACATGGATTCCCCTGCAGAGCCTCTGACAGGTTGGACCGTGGTCCTCGCAAACCTCTCTCTCTCTCTCATCACTCATCAGTCCTCATCTCCAGATAAGGCTATAGTTCCCAGTGTTTCTGCTTTGTTTCCCTTCCATACTGACAACATTGTTTATTTGCTCTGTCCGGTTGAGTCCATTTGGGCAACTTCGGCTTTGATTAACTTTTTGATCAGGTCTGATGAGATGTAACTAAGAACTTTTTGGGTTGATTGCTGCAAATTTGCTTTATGTTCTTGTGTTCGTTTCTTGTACAATTCACTGGTTGGGATTCTACTTAATTTGGTAATATGATGTGATTTCACCGGAATTATAAAAATCTTTCTTGCATGTGGAGATCTAGTCCTGACTTGGAGCTGTCTAATTACTTTTTTTATCCTTTGCGTGAACGTTTATGGGCATACATTAGATCCATTTTATTTGGAACTATGAAGTAATCAACTTTGTTTTTTTTGTTTTGCCGGATACGATAAATTCTAATCTATATCTACTTCTACTCTATACTACGGGGGTGTGGGGATCCAAAGAGATCAAGGGAAAAGCTAAAAGGATTGAATCACCATCAATCCAGACGGGTGCTTGCACATTTGCTAGTGAAAATTTTCTAGTAAATCTTGGATTTATACCTACCACTACTCTATACTAGGGAGAGAGGGGATTCAAAGGGGTCGAGGGAGGAACTTGGGAGAACTAAGTCATTATCGGTCCAAAGTGTATCCATTTGTTGGCGAAATTTTTTCAGAAAATTTTGGATTTAGAATGCATCCCTTAACCTACATTCAAGTAGACTTCATTGGTGGCCAAAGGGTCTAGGAGTAGTTGGTTACAAAGTTATCAAATTTGAAAGATGCAGAAGCCACGTTGTCAAAATGCATATAAACTGATTTTGATTGCAGATCTCTTTTAATTAAAATGTACATTTCCCACCTGTTTTTTTGAGTTTGCTTAACAAAATGATCCCTAAAGAAACTTGTATGAGAATTTCGGGAATACCTTTTATCTCTCAAATTATGCAAAATGAGATCTACAAATTGTCTGTAGGAAAACATATGGATTGATTAAAATAAGAAGTGAAAGGTAAACGCCACTGAGATTGGGATCTGACTGTTAAAAGGCAACTAACTAAAATAGATAAATTCAAAGGCCTACTTTTCGAATTTGGATTTGAGAACCCTGTTGGGGTTGCTTTGATGGGTTAAAATTATATCATCCTTAATAAAACACATGACGGTTTAACCAGACTCGGGAAAAATACTGCTGCATTTGGATGGACAATTACCTTCTTCATCCACAAAAGATTGGACTGCATGTTTTGTGAAAGAAAAAAATAATCTTTGACGGAGTTTTTTGGAAATTTTTTTCCAACATAATTCTCAATCATTTTTTTACCTAATATACATCACATCTCCCAAAAAAAAAAAAAAAAGAAGTTATAGTGTCCTTCTTTCTACAGAAAATGCAACCCAAACTGGGCAACCAAAACAGCTGACTTCCAGTGTGTCATGCTTCGTGATTGGTCCGAAAAAGAAAATTAAACGTAAAAGAGAAAGCTCAGCAGCTTGAACCAAGCTGGTTAAGATGGTTGGGTACCCAAAACCCAACATTTTCTTGAGCATTCTCAAATGATTGAGTAGATACAATAGTCCGCAAGTATCAATAGCTAAGAACCTATGATTGCGTTCTAGGATCTGGACATCAGGTTAATGGTTAATCGTTTAATGCTATGTGCAAAGTATGCTGGTCATGATATGCTTGCAACCTCAAACATTGATTATGTGATGCTTGAGTTGGATCACCTAGACATTGGATGTATATCCATTTGCCCTTAGTAATAAACAACATTAAATTGTGTTCAGATTGGATATGTACTGCAGCAAAACTAATAGGCAAGGTACTTTCAGCTAAACATGTAATAAAATATTAAAATAAGTTAATTGTAGTGTTCTCATGGCTATTTGATATATAAGAGCAATCAATGCTGTGACTGAATTAGGTTTGGAGATATTGGTTGACTATTTGAATAGTATTTTGCTGAGGTAGTAAGTTACAGTATGGCGGGCTGGAGGGATACTTGTAGTGAGCAAATGAGGGCCTGGAATATATATTTCTGTTGAGTCATGACAAGTCGAGGTTGTCAAACTGGAAACTGTGTTATTGACCTTCAAGTCAAATTAGGTTTTGTTTCATCATTATTTGATAATCTCATTAGATTAATTAAGCCAATTGATGGGCAATTGCTCGATGTGGAGTAGCTTCTTTTTCTTGTATACATATTGGAATCCTTTGATTTGGACCACCTCAACTCCGAATTCACTATACTTACATAATCTGGACAATCGATTTTTCCTTATAATGAATCACGTTAGAATGACATGCTATTGATTTCTGTGGAGCTTGCAGGTTGTTTTTATTTGGCCATAACGTTCTTTAGATAGACATTTTTGTTATTTTTGAGGACTGCATGAGCATTTTTTGTTCTTAGAAGTGTAGGACGGAAGAAGTGTGGGGGTAGCGGAAGGGAATTGGAAATGGTTAGAATCACTTGTTTGTTGTAGACATTTTCCGCGTTTTGTGTGTGTGTGTGTGTGCCCATACACACGTGTACAGATATGTCTGTTGCTGTACTTCTGCTTTCAAATTTTTATATCTTGTTTGGCATCTTAAAGGCTCCTTATTGCATCTCTCCTTGAACAAGATATATTTTAATGATGTTTGTTACAAACTTTCAGGTACTAGCCATATTAACACTTTCTGATTATATACCTGGAAATAGAATTTCCATTCTGGAAGAAGCATTTAACCGAAACCTATTGGCATCTTTTCTTCTGGTGAGCAAAAGCTTCCTAATTTCAATTTTCTTTTGATATTAGATATCTGGTGCGTTTCTAGAGTTCCACTGGACGCAAGGGAATGAAATTTGCCTTTATGGTGCAGGCTAATGTGCTGACGGGGTTAGTGAACTTGTCCATTGACACGCTCTTTGTTTCACCAGCCACTGCCCTTGCCATCCTGCTTCTTTATCAATTTACTTTATGTGCTTTCGTTGGATGTGCATACTTCTTTGGCGTCAAGTTGAAATTTTGGTAGCGGACCTTGCTTCCGCTTTGCCAATTGAATCCTAACTGCTTTTTGGGCCACAATTGAACTTTTAAACTTGTAGTTTGCTTATTTTATCTCTACCATGTAACTTTCATATCCACGAGGCAGTCACAATTATGTTCTACAAAAATTTGCTTCTCAAGGAGTTCCCTTTGACTTGAATGGACTTCAAATCTTTGGGGGTTTCAGTACCTGGTTGAGACAATTGTGTCCAACCCATCAACGAAGTTGCCCACACAATGAAGTTCACATGCATCTCTGCTTGTTGAATTGCCTATTGCATAAGCTCAAGTATCATTTGCCTATAAGGAGTTTGTGTACACGTACAACTCATAGAGTTTGGGTTGTACGTTCTTTTCTCTCCTAACATTATTGTTTGTGCATGGCTACTATGCTAGATTGCATTTTATCCGTACCCACAAAGCCATTAAGCAGTACTACAGTGTACTACTACTAGACAGTAGTAGAGTAAAAAGTAAAAGGACACTAAAGGCTGAGCTGAAGCCTAAAAAGGCATTGGCCAATATGTATTCCTTCCCTTCCATTCTTGGGTCAAAAGCAAATTTTAAAGAGAGTTTTAACTTCAATGTGAATATATATTTGTGGATGATTGGTAAATATGTACTTTCCAAGAGGTGGCTGGTCGTCACATGGATTCCCCTGCAGAGCCTCTGACAGGTTGGACCGTGGTCCTCGCAAACCTCTCTCTCTCTCTCATCACTCATCAGCCCTCATCTCCAGATAAGGCTACAGTTCCCAGTGTTTTTGCTTTGTTTCCCTTCTCATACTGACAACATTGTTTATTTGCTCTGTCCGGTTGAGTCCATTTGGGCAACTTCGGCTTTGATTAACTTTTTGATCAGGTCTGATGAGATGTAACTAAGAACTTTTTGGGTTGATTGCTGCAAATTTGCTTTATGTTCTTGTGTTCGTTTCTTGTACAATTCACTGGTTGGAATTCTACTTAATTTGGTAATATGATGTGATTTCACCGGAATTATAAAAATCTTTCTTGCATGTGGAGATCTAGTCCTGACTTGGAGCTGTCTAATTACTTTTTTTATCCTTTGCGTGAATGTTTATGGGCATACATTAGATCCATTTTATTTGGAACTATGAAGTTATCAACTTTTTTTTTTGTTTTGCCGGACACGATAAATTCTAATCTATATCTACTCCTACTCTATACTAGGGGATGTGGGGATCCAAAGAGGTCAAGGGAAAATCCAAGAGGATTGAACTAACACCAGTCCTGACGGGTGCTTACGTATTAGCTGGTGAAATTTTTCTAGTAAATCTTGGATTTATACCTACCACTGCTCTATACTAGGGAGAGAGGGGATTCAAAGGGGTCGAGGGAGGAACTTGGGAGAACTAAGTCATTATCGTTCCAAACGAGTGTCTATCCATCCGTTGGCGAAATTTTTTCAGAAAATCTTGGATTTAGAATATATTCCTTGACCTACATTGAAGTAGAACTTTAAGACTTTATTGGTGGCCAACTACTTTATTGGTTACAAAGTTATAAGCATTTGAAAGATGCAGAAACCACGTTGTCAAAATGCACATAAACTGATTTTGATTGTAGATCTCTTTTAATTAAAATGTACATATCCCACCTGTTTTTTTGAGTTTGCTTAACAAAATGATCCCTAAAATGAGACTGTCGAAATACCTTTTATCTCTCAAATTTTATAAAATGACATCTACATATTGTCTGCAGGAAAACATATGGATTGATTAAAATAAGAAGTGAAAGGTAAACGCCATTGATATTGGGATCTAACTGTTAAAAGGCAACTAAAATAGATAAATTCAAAGGCCTACTTTTCGAATTTGGATTTGAGAACCCTGTTGGGGTTGCTTTGATGGGTGAAAATTCTATCATCCTTAATAAAACACATGACGGTTTAACCAGACTCGGGAAAAATATTGCTGCATTTGGATGGACATTTACTTTCTTCATCCACAAAAGATTGGATTGCATGTTTTGTGAAAGAAAAAAAGAATCTTTGACGGAGTTTTTTGGAAATATTTTTTTCCAACATAATTCTCAATCATTTTTTTACCTAATATACATCATATCTCCAAAAAAAAAAAAAGTTATAGTGTCCTTCTTTCTACAGAAAATGCAACCCAAACTGGGCAACCAAAACAGCGGACTTCCAGTGTGTCATGCTTCGTGATTGGTCCGAAAAGGAAAATTAAACGTAAAAGAGAAAGCTCAGCAGCTTGAACCAAGCTTGTTCAGATGGTTGGGTACCCAAAACCCAATATTTTCTTGAGCATTCTTAAATGATTGAGTAGATACAATAGTCCGCAAGTATCAATAGCTAAGAGCCTATGATTGCGTTCTAGGATCTGGACATCAGGTTAATGGTTAACTAGTTTTTCTTGTTATGACAATTCTTGTTCTCGTTTAATGCTATGTGCATAGTGTGCTGGTCGCTTTAGTATTACCCTAGCAAAGTACTTGGCACCATAACCCACATGATATTCATGCAAATAAATCGCAGTTATCTCAAGATCCAGTTCCGTTGATTGACACATTAGTCAGGTGACCGCGAGGTTTATGTTTCGATTTCAAAATTCCATCTTTTCCTTTTGCTCTTGTAGGGTTTGAAATTTCTCTCCAACCAAATAAATATATACGTATGTAGGCTCGTCAATTTGCATGTTTGGGACCAAACTGAGGACTGCACATCTCCATAGGTCGACGAAAGCATCTTGTTAGAGGGAACCAAAACAATGGCAATGTTTCTCGTCTCTCTAGAGAACACGTTCAGTTATAAAATTTGACCCTTCAACTTTTTGCAAGAATTTAACCCTTTAGAATCCGCTACGAAGTAGTAGTACTTCACGTATCATCTGTTTGTAGCTAATTTTATCCTCGTAAATTATGACTTTTGTTTCTTTGTAATTGAAACAAGCCTTCACGAATTTCTTTTTAAGGCGATGTTATTGAAGATAAGGCGCACAGAATCGACCATAAATGCCTCTCCTTGTACATCAATCATCAAGCACGAAACTTCAAATCAGTAATCATGCATAGTTTGGAAGTTTGTTGTATGGTGCAGACTGGAAGATTCTTGGCAGAAATGATGGTAAAATCGAATGTGTGCCCGGTGTAGTTCTTAATGTCATTAATGATCTTCTTCACTTTATTACCCAGTGGGTTAAATTTTGTTTTCATATCCTCTATCAACAAATTATTGGCAACCAAAAAGATAAAAAGAAAAAAAAAATCTAACTTCCCTATAATCGTTGAAGTTTTCTCTATTGCAGTACTTCCACTTGTTCCTTTCCCATGTTTGTTAGTAACAGGTCAAAGAATGGACGTAACATTGCCCTTCCTGTGTCGATGTCCACGTTTCGAGTCAAGAGCTAAAGCCCTTTCCAAGAACCTCCCAAAAGAACAAAACGGTGGAAATGGGTGTGGAGGGGCACCTCCCTTCAAAAGGGATATTGATGGAGTGATAGGCTTTGTGTGTTATCCATTATGTTGCAATCCCCTCTTCTTCAAAGTAGATAACATTCACCATCTGAATCTGATAATATATATGAAGCATAGAAATGGCTCTCAATGATAAGGTTGAATTGTTTAAGCATTACTTTGTTGACTATCGATCGGTGGTGAATGTAATCTGCCCAAACATTTTTTTAGACACATACTTTGCAGTACTTTTTGTAGTATCCGGAAAATTACATCTTTAATCATTATATTTGCACTCAATCTCACTTGAGTCCCTGAGCATTTGGTCTTTTACATTTAATCCTCTACAATTTTAGCTAAAGTTGAGGCACAAGTGGTAATCTAGCTCTTTATATTTGAGGAACAAACAAGTATATATTAAGTGGCAATTGCTTGGAATAACTGACTCGTGATAGTGCTCGATACAATTATTCTTTGTTTAAAGTGTGTACTTATGAATTTTTATTATACATCAAAAAAATGTAAATTATAGTTTTTACTGCTGTAACCGTTAAGATTTCAACTTAACTTTTTTTTTTAACTTCAAAAAGCTCTTAATGATCGGACATCAGAGTCAATCCATTTTTTTTGGGCAAATGTTGTTCTTGACTGATCAATGTTTTAATAATGTAATATATCGTACCACTTTTCCTTCTCTCTAGTTGCTAGTGATATTGAGTCTTTACCTTACATGTTAAAGCTGCCATGCCCATACACAAAATGTAGGTAAAATGCTAGTATCTCATTGTTAATCTGAATTTCTTTCTAGCAGAGTTTCATTTAATATCAACCTAATATCAACACTCTTTGGTTAAGCACTTTTCAAGTGCTCATACTAGGACTCATTAATTAAAACAAATAAAAAAGAAATAGGGGACTAAATCCAATAATACCGAATAAAAATGGGACTAGGCTGAAACACAAAACAAAAGGAGAGTGGACTAGAACTGCAATTAGCCAGTTCTTCACAGACGGAATCACATAATACTCAATTTTCTAGAGTGTCTGAGTGTGGCGCGAGCGGTGCACCAGTCGTTTCTTGCAAATCCCAACCCAAACCGAAATAAAAAATGTTGAACGTGAAGGGTAGCTTTTGCACAGCTTGTTCTCTTGTTTTTATGCATATTTCTACATAGATTTGGGTCCCCCCACGCTCACACTCCTCACTTGCAGACACCTTGGCAGTATGTTTTGACAGCATCCATGAAAAAATTGGAAACCAAAACAAAAAACCATTTTCCTCAACTATTGTGTAATTTGTTTTTTTTTTCGACAAATAAAAAAGTTTGAAGTGTATTTCTGAATTCTGCTATCGATGTAACAACTGTATCAGTGAACAATCTGTGCGATTAAATTTTATAAGTGGCGTATGATCGTATTGTATACGTGTCTAATTGTGTTTGTCTCCTAACTTTTCTATCTATCCTTCTAGAGTTATAAAACAAAAACCAAGTAAATAAACAGTAACCAAAGGAAAAAAAAAAAAGAGTAGAATGATAAAGCAAGGAAGGATTCATCCATTACAAATAGTCTCATACATGCACGTGAGAGGTTACTGCTCAAGTCTTGTGTGTGCTTTTTGAGCTTTTCTCTGCATCCCAAAAAGTTAGTGTAAAGGAAAAAGGAAGTCTCCTCTGAATCTCTCTCTCAACTCTCAACAGTACAAGTCATAAGTCATAGTAACATAATAGAGGGTTTTTGCTTTTGCTATAAAATGGAATGATATGATGTCTTTTTAATAATAACAACAACTCCAGTAGTCAAAATAGTAGTATTAACAGTAGGAGAAGTATTGGGAGACTCGAGGGTTCGAGTAATCTTTTCATCATCTGCCCACAAAAGCAACAGTTGGGTCGAGTGCAGAAGAGGGATGATGGCTCTAGAAGCTCTTTCCTCCAATGAACTCCTGAATTTCATCATCTATGACACCATTTCCGCCACCCCTTTCAGCAGCAATGACAGCAATAATTCTTGTCATGAGAATTCTACCAACTTCTTGCTGGACAATGGAGGGCTGAAAACTGATAATTGTGGGGGTGCCGAAGCTGGTGGGGGTTTAGAAAATTGTTCTTGCATGCCGCCTCCGCCGCCTCCCGTGCAGTCGCAAAGGCAGCAGAATAGTTTGGCGGTGCAAGGCAGGAAGAAGAGGAGGAGAAGGCAAAGAGTTTGCAAGAATAAAGAGGAAGCTGAGACCCAAAGGATGACTCACATTGCTGTTGAAAGAAACCGTCGTAAACAAATGAATGAACATCTTGCTGTCTTGCGTGCTCTCATGCCAGAATCCTATGTTCAAAGGGTATAAATTTTTTTTTCTTCTTCGTTCTTCTCTAAATAAATTTTTTTTTTAGGGTTTGTAAGGTTTATAAATTGGGAATTGGAATCTCTTTTGACGAGGCAATTGATTTTATTAATCAAATTTAAGATGAGATGAGATTCCCTTAGTCCGTTTTTTTTTTTTTGGTTTTGTTTTGCCATTTGAATAGTAGTCAATTAATTGGTGAGGTTTAATTTTAATTTGCAATTTCTAATTGAGGCATGCATTTATTGTTTCTTGACAGGTTATGCTTTTTTCTGTTGACCTTCTGAGTACTAGCCCGTTCTCATTACCAGCATGATTGCTACAAAACAAAATATTCTTTCTCGTTCTTGTTTTTGTGTCTGTGAAGATTCCCGTTCCAGCACGGGGTTCAACATTCATGTATTTGCAATGTAGAATAAGACAGGTTCTTAAGCAGGTGTCTCTGATACTTGAAGAAGCCAAATTTTGTGGCTGATTTTCAATGATTTGAAAATGGCAATCCTGGCAGCTATGGTCGTTTGGTTGTCATTAGATTTTTTTTTTTTTTTTAAATTTTGTCCATTCTTGTATGTACTTTTCTTGTCCAGGTAAAAGTTAAGATGGTACACAATAAAAATGATGGATGTAAGCTTCTTTCAAATCTCGAAATAAGAATTTTCACTGTTTTTGCATGCCACCTTTTTTTTTTTTTTTTTATGGCTGTTCATGCTACTTTAAAAGATTCAATTTATTCACTTTAATAATCACGAGATTAAATATAAGAAAAGATTGGTTTTTGCAGGGTGACCAGGCCTCTATAGTTGGTGGTGCTATAGAATTTGTGAAGGAGCTTGAGCATCACTTGCAATCCCTTGAAGCACAAAGGTTCTTGCTATTACAGCAACATGGAGGAGCAAATGACAAGACCACCACCACCATGGCCGCAGCCATTGCCACGGCCACCGGGAACAAGTGTTTTCCTCCAGCTCCAACCCCATTTGCTCAATTTTTCGCTTACCCTCAATACACATGCTCAGCCCAATTGCCAAACAAGTACACATCCAAGAGCAAGGCAGCAATTGCAGATATTGAAGTCACTTTGATTGAAACTCATGCAAACGTTAGAATCCTTTCAAGAAGAAGAGTTAGACAGCTCTCCAAAATGGTTACCGGCCTACAGACGCTGTACCTCACCATCCTTCACCTAAATATCACAACTTTGGACCCTTTGGTCCTATACTCCATCAGTGCTAAGGTACCTTAACATCTAGTACTTGTCTATTCTTATGCATTTGAGGCAATGGTTGGTAACGTGCTAGTGTTGCTGTCCAGGACACCGTTATCGACCCTTACCTAATTCTGAAGAGTGAGTCCTGAAATAAAATTGCATCTATTTCAGATATGTTACATTGATGGATATTGACAAACATTTCTTGCAGAAAATGACTAGAGAATGCTAGCTGCCACTTTAAAGTTTACACATGCTGCAGTTACTATTCGAAGAAATCATGGACCATTGGGTTCTATAGAATAGACAGGTTAAACTTAGTGCAATGGGTATATTGGGCATTCCAGTGGTCTTTTATCCAACGGTATATGTTAGGCTGTGGTCTTTTTTCTTTTTTTTTTTTTATGGGTCGATTGACATTTGTCTACTCTGCATCTGCACCTGCCCCTACTCTTACTCTAGCCTATTTAGAAGGGATATGTTAGGGGTCATTGATGATCATAAGAAATGGTATCCTCAAATTTTTACACTTCTGAGTGACTTACTTTTGTATTTTTACAATTTAGGCAAAATAATGAGAGGGTTTTTTTGGGGGGCTAAATTTTGGGATTTGTCATGTTACAGGTGGAAGAAGGCTGTTTACTAAATTCAGCAGATGACATAGCTGGTGCAGTTCACCACATACTTAGAATTATTGAGGAGGAAGCTGCACTGTGTTGTCAAGCCTAGCTAGGGGAATCGGTACATCTTTTAGTTGTAGCTGAATCATGAATATTTTAGTGCATAGTTTTCTATGGCCTTTGTATGTATCAAAGCTTATAATTTTGCTATGGCTACCGTTAGTACAATTCAATAGTGGGTTTTCTTTTCTTTTCTTTTTCTTTTTTTGGTTTGGTTTGGTTTCTCAACTGCAATAAGTGAACTAAATTCTTTTCTTCTTTCATTTCTTTTTCGTCCTTTGTCATTCTAGGTTTCCATGACCAAAAAATTTTTTTTTTTTTTTATTTTGGTCTTTTCGATTTTCAACCGGGTTCTAGTAAGCAGAAATTTCAGCAAGATCCCAAAGGATATACAGATTATTATCTCCACCAAGATAATTTTGTTGTATTCTTTTTCGTTCTGATTTACCAAAATACAGATTTGGCAAGACTATGACTATGAGATAGATATGAAAAAAAAAAAAAAAAAAGACCACGGCATAGAATAGTTATTTAGTGAATTAGGCTAAGGGCGTTTTGCTTTGTCTTGATTTAACAGCGAAATTAAGCCAAAATATACTTTTGTGAGGAAGAAATTAATTTGGCTTAATATTTACATTCTGTGTTCTGGCAAAAAAAAAAAAATTTAAAAATTTTCCCTGACCGATCACCAAAACTTAAAAGGTTCCGTTCTTTCTAAAAACTTTTGGTGTCCTTGTTGTAGCCTCAGTTCACAATAGGCAAAAAGGGCTGTCCGTAGGCCTTTCATCTTTTGTAATGAGAAGTTGACATGCCACTGCAGTAAAAAATTTGCAACTACACAATGCTAATTCACTTTAAAAAGAAAATTTCATCGAAATATTTATTTCTTGTATGTATCTGATCATACATCAAAAGACTTGTAATTTTTAATTCATGGCTTCTTAATTTGTTGATTTTTTTTTTTTTTTTTTGCATATGCCAGACGATACAATATGTTTATAATAACCCTCAAAATCTTTGAGAGATAAGAATTTGTAGGCAATTTGTTTTTCTTTTACTTTTCAACCCAAAAGAATTCATGGAACAAGATTCAGCTATTGTTATTTCGGGGACGTTAGATTCACTTGTTTGTAGCATTTGATTAATTAGGTATCATTAGCTTAATTATATTTTGGATACATACTTACATAAGTGTAGTTTGTGTTTCACAATGTTTAGTTTTAAGTGTTTGAAATATTCTTATCTCTTTATTCAATTCAAAGTTATGATAAAATGGTTGAAAGTTATTTTTATTTGCAAAAATATAAAATGTATTCTAAAAGCACTAATTTTGAATTTATGTTAGAAGTGCTTTAAAGATAAAAAATTCTACTCCTAAATCTAACAAATAATGACCGCCATCTTTTCGGCAAAAGTACTGCAACACCAAATGGAATAATCCTAGTGATACATACATTATTATATTTTTCAAATTCCTTTAATTTTAAGAAAATATGTATGAGTCAGTTCTCAAATGATGACATATAAGATTAAAGGGTCATTCTTGACCATTTTTTAACATGTAAAAAATTGTGGGGCGTCAGTGACAAAAGTGATGCGCTAATATTGCTACCATTAGGGAAAAAATCCTATTTATGTTGAAGTTTAGTTCTAATTTTAAATAATTTCGAAATGAATGTTTAAGTTTGTGGCTTAGTTAGATGCAAAGGCTTTAAGATGAACATTATTAAGCCAAATTTGAGTAGGTTGATGCTTATTTTGTACTTATCACTGTAAGATTGAGTGAGACTAAAAAGGTAACATGTACTAAATTTTATAGTGTCTTGATTTAACAACTAATTTTAGAAAAATCTTTTCTTTTCTTTTTAAGTAATTTGAACAAGATTTTATCTCTAGAACTCGAATAATTGGTTAAGCTATCATTTGCATCCTTTTATCATTGCGTCTAAATGTAACATTTTATCCTCAATGCATCCTTCCCTTGTCATCTAAATCAGAAAAAAAAAATACTTATATTGTGCATGAATCCAAGTAAAAGAACTTCTGAAGCGCCATGTTATCTTGTAACTAGCTCGGCTCGCTTGCAATTCAGTCAATGACTTGGCTCGAACTCGGTTTAACTGAGTTCGAGCTGAGTCTCGATTTACTCGAGTATACATTCAAGTCGAGTTCGGGTGCTTTGATTTTTACAGTTCATGACTTGACGAGCTACTCGTTGAGTAGTATAATTTAAACAATATAGATATAATTTAAATAATATATATGTATTATAATTGTAAAATGACCGTAATGGATATAATTTATACTGAATTTACAAGATTGATCAAAAAGCTCGATTGATCAGTTTACTCAACTCGATAAGCTTGACTCAAAGTCGAGCCTTATCAAGTCGAGTCTCAAGTTTTTAAAGATTTACTCGAGTCAAGCTCGAGTTGAGATTCTCCGATTCAATCGAGGTCGAGTATAATTATATTATAGGCTGAGTCGAGCTTGAGTATAGCAATACTCAATCTTGACTCGGCTCGAATACATCCCTACTCGTAACACAAAGCTTTAGCCTAAAATGCGCCCCTACACAAACACACACACACACACACACACACATATATGGAAAAGAGAGAATTTCCACTGCAAAATTACCAAGTATAGGGATTGTGAAGTCCATGTTAACTAACAGCTTTTGCCCAAGATTTTCACCAAAAAACACATGATTCCATCTAGCTAGCCAGTGTGCCTAGGGAGTAGCTAACATGCATATATATACATATATGATAGGTCAAATTCAGTTTCAACCAAAAAAATTTCTCAGCAACTATTTTCGTGAATTATTGCAAACAAAGGCCAAGAGACACCAGCCTAAAAGGTGTCTAGCCTGTATCATTACAGCAAAAAGATGATAAATCTACAGCCGCTGATGGTATATATACTACTATATATGTGAGTATGAGTTTGTGTGGTCCATTTCTCTAGTCATCGGAACTAGACTTAGCCATTGCGGCCGGTAACCATCTCTCTCTCTCTCTCTTCAGTCTGCTTTTTGTTTGTGAGCTGCGCCCGCCATTGTGGATGCGTTTGCTTATGCAGCCTCAGAAGCTTGTTTGACGGCCTAAGCACAATCTAGTAAACCTCTATACTGCCCATTGTACACTTATTTCATTTTACGTGTGCATCACATTTTCTCAGAATCTTTTGATAAATTACGCAAAAAATGTACCTATTCTATTTACATAGTGATCTACAGGTAACATGAACATATAGCATATAGTATATGTGACTACAATAGTGTAACTTTGTTGATAACCAATTCTGGGTTCAAATCACCAGAAGGTAGGTAGAGTTTTACTGTTAATCCTCTTTATTATAAAAAGAAGAAGAAGAAGAAGAAGAAGAAGAAGAAGAGAGAATAGCATATATATATATAGCTCTCTATTGTTTGTACACCTTAAGTTAATTCGTGTAAATCTATTCAATTTTTCGTGACCATAATAGATCAGCATCTGTCCATGTTTCTGTCAATGGTGATATTTCGCTGTCTCTGTTCAAGTAAATTGTGACATGTTTCAATCACCGGCCATGCATGTTATGTTACGGCATCCGGTGGTGGCGCCGGGTGCGGCTCTCATTCAAAATAAAACAAAAGAGAAAATGGAGGGCAAGAGCAAAATGGTACGGAGAAATTTATGGGATCGATGAGAGTGGCAAATGCGTTGATTCTCTAGCTTTCAGTTTTGTTGGTTAGTGTGGGATTATTCTGTAACCTCATTAAGGTTCATGTCATCTTGTGGAAGCAGAAAGAGACGTTGATGGACCCCTTTGCATGCAAAGGATTGCAGAAGGAAAGGGAGAGAGAGGGACGAAGAAACTGATCAAATCCCACTAATTAAATTACTACATTAATTATATACCATGCAGTACAACTACAAGTTTCTTAGTTAATGAAGTATCATTTGGATGTAGCTGGCTACAGCCTACACATCGCATGTTTGTGCAACTCTGCATGATCCATTGTGTAACTAGTTAGTAAGTTCCTATTGGCACAACCAGTCGAAGTGGATGACTAGGTGAACATTTCTCCTTCACACGATTCAAGATGAGGTTCTTCTTCTTGTTGTTGCAATGGTTTGTCTTTTAACTTTGTGTGGTAATTAAAATAACTACTTGCACTTGGTACAAATGTGGTGCATACCTTAACAGGACTTGCCGAACAAAACTCACCAGATTTACTGATCCTCGTGGTTCAAATATTTTGAGAGGGATAAAATAGAACAGAAACCCTTGAAATGTAATAACCTTACGGAAAGTACAATTAATTTAATAACATGAAGAAATATGATTTGGATGTTATTTTCAACAAAGTTCATACAAATTGATGTACGTATATAAACAAATTCATCTCAATCTAAATTTGGATAAATGATCTATTTTGATGTTAACTAGACGACAGCTAGGGGAAAATGCTTCGGTAAGGATCGTCAGAGTAACGAGACGATTTTTACCCGATATTATAGGTCATCACATTTTTAGTGACCACTTTAATTATTTGTTGGATTCATCCACCTATATAGGATAATGACTAAAAATTCGTTGCTAAGTTTTTCGTCTGAAATAGTAAGTTATATAAAAATTAGCAACTTTTATTGGGTGTTCAGCACATAAATTTGAATTTCTTATCAATGTAATAACAATGAAATGTCATCATTTTTTCTCAAACAACATGTGAAAAAAATTTGAAAAAATAAGTAAAATTTTAAGTGAGTCATAAATGCGTCATTAGATATATCCATACCCATTTCTTAAATGAGTATAATCATTTTGACCCAATAGGCATAAATGAGTTGATTTGATTATATCCAATATCCAGTTATAATCCGTTCAAATCCGTCCGAATCACACCTCTACTGTACAGTAATAAAAGTAAAAAATCTTCAATCAAATGGG